GTAAAACAAAATCCCATTAGAAAATCCGCAATTAGTGATGATCACTATTAACCCTGCCTATGTTTGATTTAATAGGCTGTTACACACCCTATATGTTAGGCGTCGTAAACGAAATGAGCTTTTGATAAATAATTGTTTAATTTTATTTACTCGTCTTTACTAAATTGTTTCTTGGTCTTTATTTTGAAAAGTAGATGTTCTTTGAAGTCATACCTCCGTCATTATGTATAACGGTCATCGACAATCACCACATTATCGATCAATTTCGCCTTGAAAATGTTACGTACCGACTAGAGATGTCGAGAAAACCATGTGATGCTAAATAATCACAAGGAAATAACTAGTAATTTTTGCAATAAGTATAAGATATAGTGTGTGATGATTTAGCATCACATGGTTTTCTCAGCATCTCTAGCACCGAACTTTTTTTTTTTTTACATCAGAAACGTTACGCAACGACGCTTATCTTTTTTTTTATTATTTCCAAACGTTTTTTTTTTTTTTTTTTTTTTTATTTATGTAAAATATAAAATAAAATACGAGCATGGCCAGCGAGAGTTTCGGATTTTATAGTTCAAAATTTGAAATCTTATTTCCATATATATATATATATATTTTTGAGTAATAGCCGGCTTAGCAGTATCAAATTACCGACTTGGCTGAGCTTATAAATTTTAATTACTATGTAGTTGTTTTCTTTGCCCTACTCTTTGGTGCTTTTGATGCTGATTTAGACGTTGCTTTTCTCGTACGTTTTTTCTTCGTGCCACCAACAGAACTCGTTGGTGTAGTAACACCGCTACCTTCTGTTTCTACCATAGGCGGTTCTCCTTCATGCCATAAATCTTCAAGGGTTCTAGATGAAATGACTGAAGAACTGGCACCAGAATTTGAATCTTTCTTACGGCGTTTTCCACCATTTCCTTTTTTCTTAAGATCATCATCTTCGACCTTTCGCTTTGACTGTTGATCACGAAGTTTAGCTTCAAGCTCATCATCTTCAAGAAGCAGCGATACAATCTCTCGCGGTTTGAAGTCGACTTGCTTGAATTCACCACCGGATATTACAACTTTTTGAATCTAAATTTAAAAATGAATAAATATCTTCACATGCATCATAAAACACTTGATTATTAATCTTACTTCGTCTTTTTGTTTCGCGCGCTGAAGGATCCTTTCTTCGATAGTACCTTTGGTTATCAGTCTGTACACAGTAACTTGCTTAGTTTGACCCAATCTATGTGCACGGTCCATGGCCTAAAATAAATTGATTTATGAATTTTTAACTGGGATATTGATGTAATGAAACAATTATTTCATCTATACCTGTTGGTCAACTGTAGGATTCCAATCACTGTCATAAAAAATGACAGTATCCGCTGCTGTCAAATTAATACCTAAATATATTAATAGATAATATTGTGAATTATTTTTATCGCAACACTAAAATTAAAAAATCATAAAATAGACTCTTACCTAAACCACCAGCACGAGTACTCAACAGGAAAACAAATATTTCGGATCTAAAAGTATTATATTAAGTAATTTTCATACAAAACATTCGCAATATTTAACTAACTATAATGTAAGTACCGTGTTTGCCAGTCTTCGACCATATCGCGACGATCGGCTATTTTTGATGAACCATCGAGTCTTAAATACTTGTATTGTCTGTACGCAAGATATTCTTCCATCAAGTCAATCATGCGTGTCATTTGAAAGTAAATTAACACTCGATGGCCACCAGCTTTAAGCTCTTTGAGTAATTCGTCAAGTTTTGTCAATTTTCCAGAATCTAAAACAAGTTTTTTAAGAGCTATAATGAAGATTAGTATAAGTTTGAACTTTATATTAAGAGGATTGAATTTGTTTATTTAAACATAAACATACGTGGAACTCGCATATAAGAGAACCCATTATCTTTTCGGTATGTTTGACCTATTATGCCCTCACCCTCAGATTGCATTAAGAATTGACCAACAATGCTAGAATTCCGCTCATTCTGAGGTATTAATTCTTTTATTCCTGAGAGGGCACACCTTATAAATGGATTAAACATAAGTTGTTCTTGATCATTATAAAAACCTTTATCTATACATATAGGTTGAATTGGAGGAGAGATTGCCTAATGATTTAAATCGATGAAATGAGATTAATGAGGTTAATTGGATTATAAATAGTAATTGGGCGTATATGCCTAAATATTACTTTGGTTTTTTAAATTACCTTTGGCATATAACATAGGTCCAATACAACCAATTCATGTCTAGTAATATTTTCAAAAATATTTGTTAAATTACTGAGGACCGATGATTCTTCAATATTCATAGGTGCAAGCTTAGATGCTGTTTCAGCAATCAGAAAACGAGCATATGTATTGGTTGGAACGTCTGGATAGCTAAAAAATAAACTCGGAATGTTATTTCATCTAATTTGAATTTTAATTCAATAAGTCAAATTACGACACACCTTTCGCCATCTTGTGCAATAAAAAATCTTCTTCGAGATTTATGTACTCGTCGTAAAAGATGAAAAAGCCACCGTTGCAAAATATTACTAAAGAAAACTTCAGATGCTTCTGAAGGGCTGGTATCCACAAATTTTAAGAATGCAAATGTGCCTATACGAGACAAGATTAAAGGTAAAGGCATTGTTTAAAAAATATATAATTAAAAAATGAGTTCAATTTACCATTTTGTTCGTCCCATAAAGATTCATTAATATAATCCGGTCTCCATATGTTCATCAGATGATCAAAAACATACGAACGCGACCCAGCATTAGAATTGTTACCGGGTACATTCAAAAAGCCTGTCAATGTTATAATCGATATTAAATTGAATTTTTTTAATAAAAAAATACATTAAAGGAAAAAAACCCCCCTAACCTCCACTTCGGAATATCGTTTTAGGAATTTTGTATGTAAGCGCATTTTTTGTAGTATATGGGAGGTATAAATGTTCTTCTCGTGATATAATAAATGTAGAGCTGTAATTACAAAAGGCAAAAGGAGCCGATACATCTGCTCTATCAAATAATTCCGGATGATTACACACTTTACGAAATTGCATTACTAAATTCATTAGACTATCGACATTATCATTATCAGGCCATGTTGCAGCCTTTTCTAACAATTCTGTCACTGAAATCTTATCACGAAGACCGCGGTATAGAGTACGTTGCCTCGCTGTTAGCTGGCAAAATACTTCTTTCTCTATTTTATCACCAAGTTCATTTTGAACATTTTTTTTTACACGACGCAACATGAAAGGTTTTAATATCATGTGCAATCGTTTAAGTTGGTGCTCGTTTAATGAACCTTTATTTTCAGCATGACTTTCAATATCCTTAGAAAACCATTCGCTAAACTCTTGATGAGAATCAAAGAGAGTCGGCATAATAAAATGTAAAAGTGCCCATAATTCCTGCATACTATTTTGAATTGGTGTACCAGTCAACAAGAGTCGATTACGGCATTGAAAACCAAGAAGAGTTTTCCAGCGTGCACTAAAAAAATTATCAGCAATTACTATGTGCCTTTTAATGTAAGGAACCATTTATATAACATTATATATTACCTGGTGGAGCTCTTGATAGCCTGTGCCTCATCTAAAATCATATATTGCCATTTTGTTCTTGAAAAATAGCCTTGATCTTGAACGATCTATTGAAAAAAAAAATTAGTTTTGTAACTAAATTATGTAACTCTATAAGAGAAATTTTATTAATACCAATTGGTAGCTTGTGATAACGACATGGAATGGTGCATCTTGATTAAATATTAAATTTCTCTTATTTAAGGATTTTCGCAGTATAGCTCGGTCTTTCATAGTACCCCAATACGGCAAAATCTAGAAATAAAGTATGATGAATAATATACTCATAACGTAACGATATCCGAATTGGTAATTTACCCTAAAAGCAGGAAGAAATTCAGCTATTTCTTTTTGCCAATTATGAAGAGTAGAAGCTGGAGCGATTACTAAAAATGGACCCCATATATTATGGGTCTATAAATATAGACTATATATTAGAATTAAATACTAAATCAGATTTTACCAATAATATAATTTACAATTACCTCTGCAAGATGAGCCATTAACGATATAGATTGAACCGTTTTTCCCAACCCCTATAAATCAAAGTCAAACAATATTTATAGTGACAAATCATAACAAATTTAAAAGGTAAATAAAACTAGATGCATACCATTTCGTCAGCCAAAATCCCATTAATACCCTTTATAATGATTATCACATTTATACGCAATCAGTGAAATATTTAAATAACAATATATGTGCATAATAATATAAATACCTGCTCATAAAGATTAGCTAGCCAATTTAATCCTCTTAACTGATAATCCTTCAAAGTAACTTTTACTAGTATAGATGGTTGTTTAATTTCTGCCATTGATGGCATACTGGATGGATTTTGAAAGTTCATTTGATCCACTATATCAATAATAGTAATAATAATAACAATTATGAGTTTATTAACTAATCCTAGGATAAAATCGAAATTATAAAGTTACACTTACAATCTTGATTCGTCACAGAAATCTCGGTTGGCCCACTACCGGTTCTTTCACCATCAAAATCAGCAGTATGTTTTTTGACTTGTTTAAGAGCATTTTGCGCAATTATGCGCGCCTTCTCTCTAAGGGCATCTTCAGAGTCTATTCCATATCAAAAGCATTAATATAAATTAAATAAAATAATGATATAATTGGATATTAATTGTTTCAAAGCACCTTCATCAAAATCAATATCCTCGAAAGATGGGAGAGCAGGAGCTTCGGATTCAGCATCCATATCCATGTCTATATTCAAATCTGCAGATGAAGATTCTGTAATTTGTTCGTTGGTCACCACATCAGCCTGGGTGGAATTTTCCGAAGTTTCATTTGTCGTTTGGGCTTTATTATTTAATTATATAAAATGAAATATTTATTGTTTAAACAAACGTTAATTTTCTCTAAATTAATAATGATCAAGCACTTACTTCCGATTTTTTTCCCAACAAAGTGACTATAAAGTTCAGTCTGAGTTATGAGGAAATTTAGTTTACGCGCTTGTCTCTTTGCTTCGCGCAGCTCTTCTTCTACTCGCATTCTTTCTA